ATTTGCTTGTGTTACTTTTGAAGAAAATTATTTCTAGAAAATTTTGATAAAACATTCCTTACTATAAAAGGAGGGATAAACATCAATCCATTTATGGTAAAAACCCTGGGCTGTAATAATAATTGATTGATTTCATGATTAATTTCACAAACATACAGTCGGAAAATGATTGATTTCATGATTAATTACAGTCGGAAAATATTTTTAAACATAATTGATTGATTTCATGATTAATTTCACAAACATACAGTCGGAAAATGATCGTTTTCATGGTTAATTACAGTCAGAAAATATTTTTAATGCTTTTTTCAAATAATCTATTACTTCTTCTTAAAAGCTATTTTTGCTATTGGATTTATTGTTGTTGAATATATTATTGTTGGCGAATATATGATTGCTGTTAGATGTATTTATTATTGCTGTTAGAATTTTTTTTCCTTGGACATTTAAATGAATTCAATAGACGAATAATTCGAATATGAATTTGTATTAAGAATATAGAAACTCTAAGTCATAGATGCCGAAATTTCAGCAATATAAATTTAATTGGTCGTCCAACATGTCATGTACTGTATATATGCATTCAAAAAATATATAACAACACTTTTTTTATTTATCAAGTTTTTTAATTATTCAATTTTTGCTTGTTATTGTGAAATTTTAATACCTTTTATTAATTAATTGTGGTAATTATGGAGCATTTGCATAGCGGATTTACCATTTTTATAAACAGAATTGATTGTTCTATTGAAGGAAATAATTTGCATCTTGCATTCTGAAAGTTATGTATATGGAGATTTACACCCAACATCATGATCTCAAATACTGGGAAGGAGGCAACACCAGATACCCATATGTTTGGAATCCAAAAATTTATGGCATCCAGATGCAAAAGGTGGCAAGGACATTTGCAAGAAGCATGGTAATTATCTTTTAGAAAAAGACTTTTTCAACCGTGATGCTGACGGATGAAGATGAAATATTCTTGAAAACTATTATTTTGGTTATTCATTTTTATCAATAATTTCATTTGTAGCAATTCCTTTAACCCTATTGACTCTTCATATATAGTTAATTTGATTGAAAAGTTATGGTGATAATAATAAAATCGTAAGATTGTTAATTCACTATTATGTGCGTATATGATGTATGTATATCGCAATCCAATTCTGTATAGTTGGAATTGATTTTATCAATGGCCAAAATATTTCTAATTGTTTTTTTTTTCTAAAAAAATTCTCTCTCTCAAATAAATTACTTGCCTGAATCCCAATCTAACAACGCAGAATCTTTCCTCCAGCAGCTCGAACAAAATGTTCTTTATCACTGTCATCACCACCAATATCAATATTATTCGATCTGTGTATGGTCTGAATTTTTAATTGAACTATTATGATTATAATAATGATAACTTTTTCCGATATTATTATTAATTGAAGAAGAAGAATGTGAATATATAGTGTTTGTAGTAGTTTAGTGACATTATTAATAGTTGGATCTGTTATGGTTGGAGTGTTTCAATTACTGTAGGCGAGTGTACTGGTGCTTTAGGAATTTGATTTCGGCGGTGTTCCTAAAATTGTTGCTACAGGTGTAGATCCTATAGATGAATAATAATAATTATAAGTAAACCTTCATAATTATTAACTTGATGTTGTAGTAGAAGTTGATATTGTAGTTGGAAAGTTCGAATAATTATAACTATAATAGTGTTGCAGTTGTGAACTCTAAAATTTTTGTTACACGCAAAAAAATTTTGTACACAATCTATATTTTTTTTTTGATTATTTTTATATTTTTATTATTTTTAATTAATTATAAAGAAACTAATAAACATGGGTAAAAAAGTACGTAAACCAAACAAGCACTCAATTAATTCAACTACTTTACCAAATACTACAATAATTGAGCCACTCTTAGCAAAGTTTGATTTACCAGAGGCCAATTTTTTTGCAATGGTAACTCAAAGTGTTGACTGTCATCGATTACGAATTTTTGATACACACAACAATGTGATAAATAATGAGTTTCATTCGATAAAAGAAGACAAATTCACTTGTTTAACCTGGGGAAAGCTTTTCTTAAAAAACGAGAGTGGTGTTGATGAAAATCAAAATAGTAATGGTCAAGTTGTAAGTTGTTTTAAAGTTTTTTTTAATATATTTCTCCGATTGTTGGAAATATCCTTACAATTTATTTGTATAATTAGAATAATGGTAACAAGTTAAAGAACAAAAGAAAGCAGCGAGAGTTTCAACAAGGAGATTGTAATATCGTTATAGCACTTGGGTTACAAAATGGATCAATAGCATTTTATTCGATTGCACACGGGGCAATTATTAAAACTTTAAAAGGATCACACACACTACCAATTAATGATTTTGTATTTTTCACTAAAGAAAAGAAAGGTTACTCGTGTTCGGATGATTCGTTTATTGTTGAATGGGATCTTGAAAAATTTAAAGAGATCGGGTATTTGAAGTTTTATTTATTTATCAGATATTAATAATTAAGATTAATATATATCTTAAATAGAAAATGGAAAGACGCAAAACAAATTCCAAAACACCTTGCGATATCTCACGACGGGGAAAGATTGTTAAGTACTAACAACGATATCAAATTATGGGATCTTGAGACAAAAAAGGTTATAAAAACTTTTACAGGGCATGCGAGTATTATCACAAATATTATATTTTCTAATGATAATAAAGTTTGCGTATCAAGTGCAGAGCATGATCGATACATAAATGTATGGAGATGCCAAAACGATAATAATGATGACAAAGTTAATGACAATAATAATAAATACAATCTTACTAAGAATACATATTTATATGGAGACAATATGGCTGGTAAAGTATACAAAGATGTCAACTATAAAATGGCATTGTAAATTTTCTTTGTTAACTAAATAAAAAAAATAGATCAGAATATTTAAATTTTTTGAATTTTAATATATATATACAAAATTCGTATTGACAAAAAATAAATTAATTTTTTTAAAGCATTTACCTTGGAATCAAATGTAATACAACTTTCGATTTCAAAATCAAATACCATACTAGCAACTTCGGAAGATGGAACCCTAAATTTATTTAAGAATGCATTATCACAATCATCATCAAATAATAATAGCAAGAATAATGGTGGTGGTAGTGGTGGTGGTAGTAGTAAAATAAAGCAAAAATTTACAACCAGAACTCCAGATTCAACTATTAAAACTATAAAAGATGAAAAAGATGGTGTTTCAATAATACCAATTTTATCTGCATGTTTTGTTGATCAATCAGCAAAGAAAGAAACTGGATTAGTATTGATAGCTAGAGGAAGTACTGTGAAACCTATCTTTGAGAGAGTGGTAGATATTATGAGTGTGGTGGTGGTGGTGGTGGTGGTGGTGGTGGTGGCGATGTTAATATAACAATAACAATAATTAAATTATAATTTTATTATTTTGTTTATTGATTTAGCGGTTTACTGATGAAGAAACTGGCGAATTTCAAAAAGAATTGAAATTATCAAGACACCAGCCAATGGGTTTACTAAATGATGAATCAAATTTAGCTGCAAAAAAATTGGTAAATTTTTCAAAAATATATTTTCTAAATTAAAATCCCTCAAAATTTAACTCTTACATTTATTTATTCTAAATATATTAGAAAGTGACACATAAAGAATATGATGAGTTAACAGCTAATGTAATATTGCCAAACAATCAAATCCATGATATTTCAATATCTAATGGAGAATCTGATATGATAAATATTAATGTGAGTAATTTTCTATAATTTATTTTTGAAAAAATTAAATTTGTGAGGGGAAAAATAATATATTTATTATTAATCTAGAGTGGACTTAAAAATTTTGAGAATTTGAATTTATCCAATAATCACAAAAACAATGGCAACAGAATTAATAGTGATAATAATAGTCTGGTTGAAGAAAACAGAAAAATTCAGAAACCACAAGCTAATTCAATGCAACAAGTATTAGTTCAAGCATTGCACTCTAGTGATGAACATCTATTAAAAGAAGTACTTGGTCAAACAAATCTAGAAATTATAAATAACACAGTAAAAAAACTACCTACACAGTTTGTTGTGCCATTTCTAGAAAGTATGATTGATAAATTTCAGGGGAACCCTAATTATGGAACAAATCTTTTAAGATGGATAAAATCTGTGTTAATAATTCATATGGCTTATTTGATGACGGTGTGGTATACATAATATATAATATTTATAAATATATGTGTGTAGTAAGAATAACATGAATAGGTTATGATTTAATATTGATTAAAGATCAAAAACCAATTTTTTTCTATTAGATCCCTCGGTTAACGAGTAGACTCTCAAATTTTTATAAAACTTTGGATACACGATGTTCATCATTTCAAAAATTATTGAATTTTCATGGCCGACTTGAGATATTAACACAACAAATATCTACGAGAAATTTATTGACAAAAAAAGATGATGCAAATAAACCCAAAAATGTTTATGTTGAAGGTGATGATGATACTACTAGTGATGATGATGACGGTGATGATGATAATGACGATGATGACAATGATGACGATGATGATGATGATGACGATGATGGTGGTGGTGATGACGATGATGATGATGATGATGATGACGACGACGAGGAGGATGATGATGATGACGATGATGATGACGATGATGATGATGACGATGAGGAGGATGACGATGATGATGATGATTAAACAAATTCTTTTATCCGAACAAATTCTTTTATAAATATATATATTTCATTTTTTCTTTCTATTATCAAAACAAAAAACTTTTACGAAAAATAAATAAAATGTACTTCAAATCTATCTCTTTAAACATATAAAGTAATTGAATAATTGAATAAATTATATTTAATTTATTATCATCTGATATATTTAACTATTCTACCTCCACCATCATCTTGTTGTTGTTGTCTCCGATTTTTCATCTAAATTATTTCCTCAAACCTGGAATATTTAAATGTTTCGATGATGTGACATCCAATTTAGCAAAATATGATCCATAAAATAGTATATAAATAAGATAGATGCAATAGATAGATACGTGATCAATTATTTAAAATTCAAAATTTACTGCCAAAGTTAAACTACATTTTATTGCTGTCCATATTGTGAAAGTGTCATAATAATATTACATTAACAATCAAGAAAAGTTTTTAACTTTAGTATTAGAAAATTATTCAACGAATTTGTAAACTCAAGTAGCAGTTGGTGAATTGTTAAATATCAATGTGGAAATAAAAGCCGGGTGGCGTATTATATTATGAGCTAGATATTCATATCGGAATGATTATTTTTGTGAAGAAAAATGTTTTTCCTTTACACATTTGAAATATATCCAAATATCCAAATAAGTTTTATTAACACATTATACATATCAAGTTGATGATCTTTGAATTTGCAATGAACTATTTTTTAACGAAGATTTACAAGTTGTTGATCAAAGAACATAAGTATGGGATTATATTTATAAAGATAGGCACCATATGATTCATTTAAGATTATTGTAATGAACTCACATAAATCAGATGGTTTGATAAATCAATTTGGAATCTGCGTCAATTTGAAATTCACGCGCGCGAAATTCAAATTAGCCAATCAGAATTTTGTATTCAAACACACCCCAAAATTTTCAAAATAATAAATTAAAAGTTGTATTGGATGATTGATAAGATTTTATTTGATTTAATACTATAGTTTTTACATTACTATATAATTAACTTTAAAAAATATCTCTATTACATTGTTGCTTACGTTCCAAGTATTGCGAAAATAGAGTTTTTTTGTGGACTAACAAATATTTTCAAAGTTATCAGGGGTTAAAGATTTGCAATTTTTTTTAAATACGACGCACCATAATATACAAATTATCAAAAAAGGAGAAGAGAAATGTAAAGAGATATTTAATAATATCATTAAAATGCGTCAACGAATTGTGATTTAAAATCAATATTAAATATTAAATAACATTACTAAATATTAACTATAAATAAATTTTGCAATATAATTCAGGCTTTCTTTTGAATTAAGATCACTCAATTTGATCAAGCACTTATCGAGATACAAAAATATATGGTAATAGGTAAAGAACTATTGCGATTTTTTTAAATACTTATATGGCATTTTCAAATAAGCATCATAATCAAACCCGCCTAACGTACAACTAGATAAAACACACATTAGAGGTTGGAATCGACTAATAATAATCGAGTAAACTTTTTTTTTGAACAACTAATAGTCGACTATTTTTAATCGACTAATTAGTCGACTACTAATACCACTAATACTAATACTAATACTAATACTAATACTAATGTTATTATTGTCTGACCAATACGATTTTTGTGTTTTATCATTCAAAATGGAAAATGTTTATGCGGAAGAGTATCAATACCATCAATATGATGATGACAACAATAGTAGTGTGTTGTTGATGATAATTTTACATGTGAATGAATAAACACTTCCAATACAAGATCCAATAGTTCATTGGCCTCAAGCTCCAATGATTTAAGCGGTGGTTCCAGAAGACCTTTAAAAAAACGAATCGTAACACATAGTTTTGTGTGGAAGCATTTTGAAAAAGTGAAAGATTCAAATGGAAATGAATTCGTAATTTACAAATTAAAAAAAAAATATTATTATTATAAAAAAAAAATTTAATCGACTAAAGAAATTTTTGACCAACTAGTAGTCGACTAAGGATTTTTTAGACGATCCCAACCTTTAACACACATCGAGTATATTTTATAAAACTTGCTTTCCAAGCTTTATAGATCTCATCCAGTGTTGGTTAATTAGTTTTAGAGATTCACAAAAAACAGTTTTATAAACCCAGGTATGTTTTTTTTATTTATTTTTATGCTAATATTTTTCATATATTTAGGAATGTAATGATTAAAATCAAAAGGTATTTACATGATTTCTTTTTCCAAAGGTTAATGGTTAAACGAAATCAGAAAGAATTGTTATATTAATTATGATATATCCCCTTGTAATAACAATTATACTACCAAATTATTAATCACTTTTTTTTAGATCTGGTGGTTTACGCGACCATATTTTATTAATTATTTATTTATTTTTAGAAAATTCAACATCAAAAATTCTAGTAGATATATATATACCTGTAATAACAATTATACTATTAATTATTACCCATTTTTTTTAGATCTGGTGTGCTATCAGAAAGAATTATTACGCGACAACCAGTTAGTTATTATTATTATATGTGACCACTGTTATTCTTTTCATTGTTTTAAAGCATTAATTTAATTTATTCTATATATTTAGAAAGGGAACATGCAAACCAGCCTGCAGTAATATTTCTATTTATTTATGCTTTCAATTTTAAAAAAATTTCTAAACTAGTCTTAATACCGTACATTACTTTCAAGTCAATTACAAATTCTGCCCGGAAATATGGAAAACTTCAAACAGAACAGAACATGGACTGATGATTAACTCAAAGTTGTCAAATCACAAGGGTGATGTAGCACGTACATTACTAATCCATGATCTTTCAAAATTCACCATTTTATCATGTTAGTAACATTTAATTAAAGATGGGAACCGCAACTCAATTTTCATATCTGCAATTAGTTATTACAACTAGTCGCAATTAATCGAGGAGCCATTTTTAGTAGACCACTTATTAATTAAATTTATTCAACAATTTATCTGAAATTTATCCATTTTATTAATTAATTGTTATGTAATTAAATTAAATTTATTCAGTAAATGCTTAGTAATTTATCCGAACTTTATCCATTATTTTTTATTTTATTTTAACGTAAGAAATCAGCGAAATCAATCCGGTGCAACGTTCAACCTCTATTTCAAGGTTTAATTGTCGATTTTTTTGGATTTTTTTTAAAATGATTTAATGTCCTTTATCCATAAAAAGGAATTTGCAGTTTCACGGAGTTTGTTGCGTTGTGATTATACTCTCTTTTGTTAAACTTGATTTTTGGGGAAGGAATTTTCTATTTTTGAGAAATGTTAAATTGCAAATGTTCATTTTTTTTTTTTTTACGTGTAAAAAATTGACTTGCAAATCATTTATTTTCTTTCCAAAGTCGTAAAAACCTTTCTGCTTTCAATGACACCTGATAATCTTACATTTTTTTCTCCTGTTAGTCTTTTAGCTTGTGCTTGATTTTCACTTCTATGTTGAGACCAACATGAATTAATAATAATAATTATTATTTACAAGAATAAGAAAAGATCTATTTTTTTTTTGTCATGAAGACAAAAAATGCATTATTGTCTTTATGTCTATTATACCGAGGTAAAATCGTTATATTTTAAAGAATTATTACCTTTTTGACCAATTAATGAAAGAGATGTTAGCAAACAATTGTTTTTTTTTTGATCAATTATATCTTAGCAAACAATAAACCATTACTTTTTCAGTAAACAAAACTATTAATTTCTTTGATAAATGAAGAATTATGAGCTGTTGCTTTTCGATCAATTAATATTATGTCGATGTTTAAAACACTCGTGTTATTGTGACTTTTAAAAGACGATACTAATTGTCATCCTAATGCTAAATTGGGAAGACGCAATGTTTAAATATATATTAAGAGGAAAATCTTGACCCTTTTAACTTCAACTCTCTAATTATTACCTTTACTGTTATCTTTACTATTGTTTGTTTCAAAACACATATATTGATTGCTATCTTTATATTTTATAATTATCAAAAATATCACTACCATTATCATCGTCATCTTATTTCTCAATTATTACCAAAATGACTTCAATTTTCACTGTCTTCTGTTAAATTTTGAATTGCGGGTTTATCGATGGAATCGCTACATACAGGAGTGATAAAGGAAGTCAAATTTATAAAGACATCATTTTCAAAGGATTTCCCAACCCTGAAAAGTATAAGCAAAATAATTGTGCGAAAGAAAATTTACCATTTTGAAATTGATGGCAAAGGCAACAATTTCTTCTCCAAAATGTATTTGCTTTGACGGTTCACGAAACCCAAGGTTTAACCTTACCACAAATAACGCTAAATGTCGACGAAAACATGTTTGCAGAAGGTCAAGCATACGTTGCGATGAGCCGAACCACTTCGCTGGATAAGTTGCACATCTTGGAATTTGATTATTCCCAGCTAAAGTCTCTAGAGCGGCCTTAGAAGAATACAAAAGATTGGAAGTTGTGAATAACAATGGGTTGCAATCGTTGCAATCATTATAAATAATAACGCCAACAACAATAATGACAAATGTTATAAATAATAATACTGACAACAGCATAGTGGACATTTGATTTCATTGGCTAAATTATGTGACGATCTCCCTTCCAGATATCACGCAAAAAATTAAATT